TTTTTTTTCTTGGTACCAAGAGCATCACGAAAGCCTTCTCCGAGCATCCTCGGAGCGTCAGGCTTCAGGTGCCTACATGGACATCGTGGATGGTGCATAAGCCTGTCATCAGCACACAATAGTCAGGAGTAAGAGAAGAGCAAGAGGATTCCCCAAGAGGATGATTGCAAGTCGCTTCTTGAGTCCCAGTGCAGTTTGGTGATCGGTTGTGGGTTCCCCTCCTGTCTATATTTATTGTCTTTGTTTACTCTCAAGAAGCGGCAGCAGAAAGGGAGGTGAGGCAAGGCTTCCCCCCTCACTTCTGTCTCCTGGATATGCGTGACAATGTTGTCTTCCCACGTTTGCTTTTCAAAAAGGAGGGATTTCCTGTCTGGAAGCCCACACCTGTTAAGTTTCTGCTGGATTTGGAGGAGATGCTATTAGGTGCCAGAGGGGAGGACCAGGGTGTGCTGCCTCTGAGAACGTGTCCCCGAGAATACAAAGCAGCAGCGGCGGCAATAGCAGTGACACAGGACACCTGCAGCATCAGCAGCAAGACCTCTTAGCAGCTGCCTGGCTGGAAAGGGAGTCACTCTTCCCTCTCCTAGAGCCAGTCCCACCTTCTGTACTCGCCACATGCCTCTGTGGCGATGTTTACTCACAAAGTATGACAGGGAGGGAGACTGGAATGATTTGGTAATTTTGTGTCTGAAAACATGCTCAGACTTGACTTCCAATACGTTAGGATGTTCAATGATGCCTTTTCTTCATTACAATAAACTTATAATAAAGTTGGATAAGTGAGCAAAACCTCTTCCAGGCTCCTCAGAGTCTCAAAAAATCCGGCCCCCATCCCTGGTCCTCCCTCCAAAAAACAAGCACACCACAGATAATGTCACATTTGTCGCACTGTAGGGTCTTTACTGCAGGCTGTTCATTCCATCTTTATTATGTTGGCATCCTTTCTGCTTAGCAGATTTCTATCAAACCCTTAAGACTCTAACTATGTGTGTGTGTGTGTTTGTAAACTTGGCCCCAATAACTGTGTAAATGCCAATATATGCATATTATATATTTGCATCTAATTCATATACAAGTATGTATATGACCTTGATGAATTTTGAGTTATTCTTGGTCATAGATCTCTGTGAAACCTCTATTCTGCTACTGGTTTTCAATGTCGGCCTCACTCCTTTATCAATGAGTCCCTGGCGACTTGGGGGTCAGTTCTGAGGTTTAATGAGGTTTCATCTTATTGGTTGCTAGCATGTACCTGGTACATTCTGGTATTTCCAAAGGGTTTGGTGTCTCAATGAATCACTGAATGTCCGTTTCTAGAATCATTTGTGTGTTGGAGATGCCTGGATAGCTGTGAGTTTGGCTTTAGTTTTCTGTGAGCATTGAACTGTTAACGGAAAAGTCAGTGGTTCAAACACCCCAGCTACTCCTTTGAAGAAGGATGAGCCTTTTTGTATGGGTCACTGTGAGTTGGAATTAACTTGATGGCAGTGGGTGGGATAGGAACAGTTCACTGATCCATAGCTTCACTACTTTGCTGGTTTCCACAATCTTGGTTTGTCTGAGCAACCGCTTCCCGTACAGTTCTTGCTTGGCTGGCTGCAAGTTCAGAAACACCTAACAGTGTAGAATCTGGTTTGGTGGAAGACTATGTCATGCCCACTGGGAGCCACTGAATGATCTGTTGCACTGCAGTGGCATTGATGCCGTCATTAGTGTCACGTTTACAGACTTGTAACATTTCTCTGTGTGTTTTACATACAAACTGACCATCGATACGTATGAACGAATCATTCATTTGAGTGCCCTTTGGCAGTTGCTTGAAAATGATCATCGAAGACGGTCCATGCCCAGCCCACTCTGCTGGTGCCATGGTCAACTTCTGCTTCTTTTAAAATGACCAACCTCTCTTTTATAAATGCATCTTCTCCAAGTCGATGGATGTATAGGGCTCTAGAATTTTCTGAGGCAACTGGGACTCTCCTACCTTCTTTCGGCTTTGGGCACAAATTGCTGTTACATGAGCAGAGTAAACTTGATCCAGACAAATCATACAAAACTGGATGCATCTCTGGTGAAAACACTGCACCCGTTAAATAACATCATACGCCCTTCTGGATTCAAGCTTGGAGGACAGAAAGTATAGACTGCACTGGAAGCACTGTAGCTTTGAAAACAGTTATCAGTGCAATGTCAGAACAATGTGTGTGTGTGTGTGTGTGTGTGTGTGTGTTCGTGCCCTCAGACCTGGGTTCCAAACCTACTGCCATCAAGTAAATTACAACTCATAGCGACCTGGTACGGGGTTTCTGAGATGGTCAATCTTCCTGGGAACAGAGTCTCATCTTGCACCTGAGGAGCAGCGGGTACCATAGAACTTACAGAAGATGAACCTACCTATTGATGTAGTGGTTGTTAGTTGCCAATGAGTGGTCCCAATTTGCGAGGACCCTGAGTGCCAAGCAGCACGTCCCTGTTTATTAGGGGGTGCTGGGAGAAAGCATTCAGAAGCAGATCTCTAGGCCCATTTTCCAAGATGCCTCTGGATGGACTCCCACTGCCACCCTTTCGGTGAGGAGTCCAGTGCTTAAACACGTGCACCACTCAATAATGTTAAGAAACTGGGTATGACCTACCTAGCAAGGGGGAAAATCTTGTTCATAAAACTTCACCAAGCCCACACTATCTGTCCTGTGAATGGCCTGATGTAACCAGTGTTAGAGGGTAGTTCGAGGAAATAGACCAAAGCATGACTAGTGTTACAGCAAGAGAACTTGTTGGAAATTTTTATTTGGTTAGCTCAATTTAAGATCATTATATCTATATCTCAGTTAGCTCATTAGATTGATTTAAAATGACCTTTTATTATTCCTCTCATTTGAAAACTTCCCTTTGCTGAAATGGCCTGGCTAGAATGATTCGATTTCTGCATCATAGATATCATTAGTGCTCCTAGGAAGAAGCGTTTGGGAGTAGCAATTTAAGGCAGAGAAAGCTTGAGGCTGCGTTCCCTCCGTGAAAACATCAATTGCGCATGAAAGGAAGGAGCAGTGGGGTGGGGATGCTAATGAAGGTTAGGAGAGGCCTAGAGCTTCCTATGCTCCACTTCAGCCTGCGCGAGACATCACAGGGCGGTGGGTGGACACAGGAAGGGATGGACAGAGAGAAATTCCAAAGGGAACATCTTTGAGGCTGGATGAATGGGGAAAAATAAATGAATTCATAAATAAAAATGTACAGGATGAGCCTAGCAATTTGTACAGGGACCTCAGGTGTAGGATAAGCAAGGTCAGCTCAGTCCAGGTAACTTGGAGGTCACCTCCCGTGTGGTTGGTCAGTAAATACTCTTTCAGCTTGTATTAAAGGTCAGCTGAGGTTTGACTCATCGTGTACCTCGTGGGCAGCCACCACCTGTCTGTCACGGGAGGCTGGGGTCCGCCTGAGGCTGGGCTGCCTCGGCAGCAGCTAACAACTACAACAGAGGCTCTGCCAAGAGGTTGACAACGGCTTCGGCTTTGTGCCTTCATATTCCTAAATCTTCTTCTGCTCAGTCCTTAACACATTCAGCTAGTTAAGAAGAAGAAAAAAAATTCCTTTTTTAAAAAAAAGTTTGCACCTTTCTTTACCTTTGCTCCCAAAGCAATGCCACATTTGGGAACGTAAAATAATGGGTTGTGCACAAAACTCACCAGAAATGTACGCACTACCCCATGCTTCTGTCCGCCGGGAAGACCATCTTCCCCAGGCGTGGGGCGGGGAAGAACTGGCCTGCAGGGTAGGCTGGGAAGATGGAAAACTTTTCCTACTCTCCTGAGTGGAGTGGATCTCAGGAGTGTGTTTTCCTTACTATTCAGTTTCTGAAGCCCCCAGAACATTGACCAACTTATACCCCTTAAGTATCTCAGTGGCAAGTGGTATGCAAATATTCATTTGAATAAATGCATGTCAATTTTTTTGTATTGTCTTCAGAAAGTTCACCTCTTCCATCAGTAGATGACTGGATAAATAAAATGTGGTCTGTACGTAGAATGGGGCATTACTCAGCCACGAAAAGAAATGCTTCCGTCCACATGATGACGCAGATAAATAGCATAGGATTAAGTGAAATATCTGCACAGGGAAGTGCAGAGAGACAGCTGCAGAGTGGTTGCCATTGACTAGGGAGAATGGGGAGTCCCGTTTTATGGTGTGTGTGGTTTGAATTAGTAGATTCCTACATGCACAGAGGTGGTGTTCGTACTCTCAGGAAGAAATATCAGTTGCCTTCAAGTTGAGTTTGACTTGTGCCCCATGTGTGTCGAGTAGAACTGTGCCCCAATAGGGCTGTCAGTGCTTGGTTTTCAATAAGTGACCCCCAGGCTTTCCTCCAAGGGTGCTTCTGGATGGACTAGACTCACATGGTTCTCACCCTTCCTAATGCCGCGACCCTTTCATACAGTTCCTCATGTGGTGGTGACCCCCAACCATAAAATTGTTTTCGTTGCTACTTCATCACTGTCATTTTGCTACTGTTATGAATCAGGCGACCCCTGCCCCTATGAAAGGGTCGTTCGACCCCCAAAGGGGTCTCCACCCACAGGTTGAGAACCACGGGTCTAGAACCTCCCATCTTCCGGTTGGCAGCCGACACACTCACTGTTTATACCACCTGGGCAGGGAGGTGGGTAGAAAGTTTCGGAAACACCCAGCGATGATGGTTGCATAACATTGTGAATGTGATTAATGCTGTCCAATTGTGCACTTTAAGATGGTGGCTGTAGTAAAGTCCACATTTAAAAAAGTTCACCCTGTGGACATTTGTCTGGCAGAAGGTGTGATTCCTGAGTGGAATCCAATGTCCCTGGGCCCTGCTGGATTTCGTTCTGTAACGCCCGGTCACAACTCCCATGCATGCAGTTCCCCAGTGGCCCTAGCCCATTGCTGGCCGCCCAGCAAGGTGAGAGAAGCAGCACCGTGTTGCCGTGGTCCTGCGTTCTGATCCAGCTCTCTGTTCTCGCAGGTGCACGCATCTTGACCGACTTGGCCGGAAGGTGGATTTCTCTTTGTGCTTAAAGAAAAGAAAAATGTGTCTGTAGAGATGATTTGCAGTTCAGCCCGGCTGAAGCTGACCGAATGAGACTATGGGCTGTGCCTCCGCCAAGCATGTTGCCACGGTTCAAAATGAAGAGGAAGCCCAGAAAGGGAAAAGCTACCAGAACGGAGACGTGTTTGGCGGTGAGTACTGGGCCTCTGGCCTCTAGGCTTTCACGCTCGGGGGAGTGACGTGGTGTAGGGATCCGTGTGATATCAAGAGTTGTTCTTGATAGTGACCGTATGTTTGGGGCGTGTTGGTCAAGGGGTGAGGGGGGATTGATAGAAACCAATACTGATTGATATTGTCAGTTCGCCTTGTAATTTATATACGGAAGGTTTGCAGCCGAGGACTAGGGGAATTAGACTTTCAATCAAGCTTCAAAGGACTGTTAGAGTCGTGAGTTCAGGTGGAAATTAAGGAGGCAAATAAGAATATGGAGCAGCTGCCAGGAAGGTCTCTCACTAGAGAGGAACCACAGCACTGAAAATGGAGCGGCCTAAAAGTACCGTGGCTGAGGCCGAACAGGTGAAGAAGTGAGGTGTTCTTCAGAGGTAGCAGAGGATTGTTACTGTTTTTTTATTCGGGTTACAGCTTTCCATCTGAAAAAGTACAAAGACAGTGAACACAATCGTCATGCTGAACATTTCCATGATGGTTCAAATAACGAGGTTACCTAGTGCAAAGATCACAACCAACTAACCCATGGCCACAGCTGCCTACAAATATATTTTCATTGACCCCTGCCCCCCTCCGCCAAAGAACTGTAAAATAAAGAGCAAGACTGCCTTCCAAAGGCCAGGAAGCTTTAATAAATTTCTAGCTTCCTTCCACAGTCAGATCTGGCAACAAGGCCTCTCCCTTCCTGCAGGCGCTCGTCTGTGGGCAGAGGAGGTATCCGGTGCCCTTGGTCTGACTGTGAACTTCTAACAAAGTGCTAACCCTTTTTCCCAACAGAAGCACTCGGTGCCCAGTTGGTTCATTTACACTCTCTGCCTGGAGAATGTGGGGTTCGTCGGAGATTGAGCTGGTCCTTTGGAAGACCAATTCTTTTCTGATGGAGCCTGGGCATCGGCTTAGCTCAATATCCCAGTTAGTACTAAGTGAGCCAAACTGATTTTCCTGTGCTACTGTAGTCTTATTCCTACTGCGTGACATTTGCATGTCACTTTTCCATCTCTTAATTGCTAGGAGTGTCACCGAGCTTACATGTACATGTAAAACATTGAAGTTACAGCGTGCAGTCACTGACCGTACAAACAGGTGTGCTGCGTTTAGAATCTCGACTGTTTGATCCAGTGTAATCCTGGCTTCCCTTCTTTGGTGGAGAATTGGGAATGCTGTGGCTGAGACAATGCTGCTGTTAAAAGTGAATTCATGTATATGGGAAGGATTGCTTTGTCTTCTGTGTGTGTGTATGTTTATGGAGACGGAGACTTGTTGCCTGGAGCCTATTCTTTGTGTGTGTGTGTGTGTGCGCGTGTGTGTGCGCACATAGACGAATGAATGGCTGAGTGAGTGAGTGAGTGAGTGAGTGAGTGAGTGAGTGAGCGAGCGAGCGAATCACTGGGGTGTTAGTGCGCAGAGTGAATTGGTTTTCCATTCAACAATTCATACACTCTTTGTTTGGGACATTGGTTGCCATCCCCATAATGTCTGAACACTCTCTCCACTTGTCTGTGTTTTCATTTCCGTGAATCCTTCTTTAGCTTTATCTCTGAGCCAGTGATGCCCTTTGAGCTCAGCTCGTGGATTATTCTGAGGAGCGCGTACCTCCCCGGTGTTCTTGTTCACGATATCGACCCATTGTTTGACAGAAAGAGAAGTCCCGTTCCAGGTTTGACGGGCACGTTAGGGATATATTTAGTCCTTGGGTTCCACTGCCCCTGCCTGACCAGTAAGTAAGCCTGCCATGCGTGCGTGTATGTGTGTCTGATTTTGAATTTTGCTCTACATTTTTTCCTACCCTCTCTCGATGTCTTTCTAGTGGTAAGCACCTCTGGGACTTACAACTGTGGAGAAAGTGCTATGTGGACAGTTCAATACAGTGAGCACCTAGAGACTGAAACCATTGTTTATGGGAAAATAACTAATTAGAAGTTCTGTTCACTCGTTATTATAGTCACCTTCAACCAGCGATTTTTTTCTTTCATTCTACATTTTATTATTTCAAACCAGGTGAAAAAAAGCAAGAAAGTGTTCAATGTTGAAGGACCAGGGCCTGAAGTGAAGACATGCTGCCTGACCCCTCAGCAGGAGGCGGCCGGGCCTAGGTTAGCTCTAACAGCTACATTCAGGTTAATGGAGCCAGAGCTGCGGGGGGACAGGAGGCACTCTGTGTTGGTGGCAGCCGTCGGGAGCAGTCCTTGGAGAGCAGGGCAAGGGTGTTGTCCCCACAGGGGCACAGCCAGCAGAGGAATGGGGTCAACAGCAGACACACTCAAGCACAGAATCGCGGGAAGGGTGGGCAAGTGGGTGGGAGCTGGTGAGAAACAATAGACTTTTAAGAGAAAATAACTCATCATCAAGATTTTAAAAAACTAACTTCTAGATGATGTTGTTTGGGGGTACCATCAAGTCAATTCTGGCCCACCGTAACCCTGTGCATAACAGAAGGAAACACTGCCGGGTCCTGCACCATGCTCACAACTGTTCCCGCGCCTGAGCCCTTATTCCAGACCATAGCTGTGCCATTCTTAGTTTGTAATACGAACCACCATGTATGGAGCCTCTGTTCCCTGTCAAACATTGTGAGACACTTACATTCATTTTCATGACGAAGTAAGTGCCAGGATCCCATGTTAACATACAAGGAAGCTGAAGCACAGAGAGCCTACCTGATCCAATGATGCTCGGCTACCATGGAGTAGGATCCAGAGCTCTCAGCCACCGACATCCACATCCATTCCCTGATGTTTTCCCCAGGGCCCTGCTGGCTCCCGTTAGCCACTCGTCCAGTCAGGATGTCTAGGGCTCTCTGCTAACTGCTGTGGGGGATGCAGAGCTGCATACTAAGTAGGTGTTGCTAAAGAGGATACGAAAGTGTTATGAAGCCGAATAAACTGTATTCCCCGAGAAGGTAAACCAGACACCTTCATAATAGTCAGGGGACAGAGGGACATATTTAACAGGTAGAATTCACAAGAAGGTGACCAATAGAGAGGTCTGAGGGGCTGGCCCCAATCCTAACTATGCGGACAACCCCCTTCCCCGAAGAAGGACAGCACTGAAGCTGCAGCTCTGGGAGAGGGACATGTCTGATCAGAACACACTGGAGCAAATGAAGAGGGAGGAAGAGAGAGTGGAGCACATCCTGGCCCACTAAGCCTTGAGGACGCGATTCCTGCTCAGAGCAGCCAGTGTGCAGAGAGGACCATAGGACCGGCCCCACTGTGAGAAACGACATCCCTCACTGACCCATAGCCCTACAGGGATCAACACTGGAGACATAGTACAGGAATTGCATCCGACCTGACCCCACCACACTGAGGCAAAACACTTAAGGCGTGCAACAGAACAGCAAGGGGAACAGAGCAAGGAAGTCCCAAGGTAATACCAAAAATAGACTTTGGGACCAGGGCGTGGCACCCCATCAGATGTGACTGGAAAACACTTCTAAAGGTCAACAAACAGACCTTGAACGACTTACAGCCTTATTATTATTATTTTTTGTCATTGGTTTGTTGTTATTTAGTTTTCTTTTCTTTTGTTGCTTTGTTTTACCCTATCTTGTTTTTTTGTACATATTATTATGTCTGCAGGTCTGTCTAGATAAGATAGGCAGGATACACAATCTGGAGGAGAAAACACTGGGACACATGATTCTGGGGGGACATGGGAGACAGGAGGCAGGGGAAAGGAAGTGGTTGTTAACAAACCCAGGGACAAGGGAACAACAAGTGATCCAAAAATCGATGGCTAGGTGGGTGTCGGAAGCCTGGTAGGGCTTGATCAAGGGCAGTGTTACCGAGAGGAATTACTGAAACCCAAATGAAGGCTGGCCATGATAGTGGGACAAGAGGAAATTAAAGGAAATAGAGGAAAGAGCTAGGAGGCAAAGGGCATTTATAAAGGTCTAAATACAGACATGTACACATGTAAATATATTTATATATGAGGATGGGGAAATACACCTATGTGCATATATTTATAGGTTTAGTATTAAGGTAGCAGATGGACATTGGGCTTCTACTCAAGTACTCCTTCAATGCAAGAACACTTTGTTCTATTAAACTGGTATTCTATGATGCTCACCTTCCCGACACAACCGCTGAAGACACAGTGGGTGCATAAGCAAATGTGGTGAAGAAAGCTGATGGTGCCCGGCTATCAAAAGATATAGCGTCTGGGGTCTTAAAAGCTTGAAGATAAACAAGCGGCCATCTAGCTCAGAAGCAACAAAGCCCACATGGAAGAAGCACACCAACCTGTGTGATCATGAGGTGTCGATGGGATCAGGTATCAGGCATCAAAGGACAAAAAATCATACCATTGTGAATGAGGGGGAGTGTGGAGTGAAGACCCAAAGTCCATCTGTAGGCAATTGGACATCTCCTTACGGAAGGGTTGCAGGGAGGAGACGAGTCAGTCAGGGTGCAGTGTAGCAATTATGAAACATAAAATTTTCCTCTAGTTCTTAAATGCTTCCTCCTCCCCACTATCACGATCCCAATTCCACCTTACAAATCCAGCTATACCAGAGGATGTACATTGGTTCAGATAGCAACTGGAAACACAGGGAATCCAGGACAGATAACCCCCTCAGGGCCAATAATGAGAGTGGGATACCAGGAGGGGAAGGGGAAGGTGGGGTAGAAAGGGGGAACCGATCACAAGGATCTACATATAACCCCTTTTCCTGGGGGACAGACAACAGAGAAGTGGGTGAAGGGAGACGTCAGACAGTGTAAGACAAAAATAAAAATAATTTATAAATTGTTAAAGGATCATGAGAGAGAGAGGGTGGGGGAGGGAGGGGGGAAATGAGCTGATACCAAGGGCTCAAGTAGAAAAAAAATGTTTTGAGAATGATGATGACAACAAATGTACAATTGTGCTTGACAAAATGGATGGATGTATGGATTGTGATAAGAGTTGCATGAGCTCCTAATAAAGTGATTTAAAAAAAAAGAAAGGTGACATC